TTACAAAGAATTTAAATACTGGGATATTACGTTATCATATATTAAGCACGAAACCCATAAATCAGTTGACGTATTGAAAGAATATTAAGTTTTTACAACTGGTGTTGCTAAGCTATGAAATTAGCATATTAAATAGGGTAATTAGATCTATAGATTTATTAGATCTATTAGATTTTTAAGTATATATAGCTTAACTTAAATTCAATATTTCCATTATTACTATAAGAAGTGAAAAGTCTGGCCATATATTCATTTGGCTGATTACGTTAGCTATATAGCATTTGAGCCGATAAGTCTCTAACGTGTCTAACGTTAAGTAAACATAGACCACTCAACAGTTATCTCATTTAAAATTAATATTTTTCTTTGCGCCAAAAAATATGCAACACAAAGTGTCCCACTATTTCCAGCAGTGACTCTCAAACTGTTTAGAACTTACCGTATTTCGTCAACGGCGAACGTCAGATACCACAATGCAAACATCGTTTATTATTGTTGTTTTCTGTAAATAAATGGAATAAAATGAAACAGGTTAATTATAGCACTTATGACTATGACTAAAGCAACAGAAGTCTAGTCTATAGCCGATTTTAGTAAAATATTTCAATGCTAGCAGCAAAATTGAGTGCACGAATAAATACATTCAATAAACCGTTTAGAATCGCAATTAAAATCGAGTCAAAACATTTGCCGGCATAAATTTTGCTTTGATTGTTGTGCACAGTTTATTTATAAACAACTGATTGCCAAGCGCATGCATGTATGTGTGTGTCTGTGTGTGAGTGAGTAACTCGCTTGCCAATTAAAACGACAAAACTGCATGCATACACAGATGTACACACACACACACATACACGTGAGTGTCGCGCCGCATCTTTTGGGCAATTGGCAGCCGATTGATTTTGCATAAATGGGGCAACACTGGCAGGCGCCAAGGAAAGAAGAATGAAGAATGATAGCGGGAGAGGGAGAGTAGGCGGAGGGCAGAGCTGGCAATTCACATGGCTTGCTTTATTATTATTTAAGCGCCTTAGAAGTGAGCGAGTGCAAATGAGAGAAGGGGGAGGGGAACGGGATAGCGAATGAGTATAGGAAAGGGAAGAGAATCTGCTTTAGTTTATTATTGAAATGTGTGCCAAGAGAGTTGGACTTCTGTGTGACTTGAGCTATGGCTACTGTTTGTTGTTGTTGTTAATGCTTAGCGTAGCGGCGTATGAGCAATATTTGAGATATTTTTACACATGCACACACACTCGCACAGAAATCGTTACGTCACAACAAGCGTTAGCCAGAGCGAGAGAGCGAGAGAGAGAAATAGAGACAGAGAGAGCGCGTAAATTTGAACTAGTCATAAATATGTATGACACTGACAACGCGTTGCATGCAACACGCTGCTTGCACTCACCTTTAGTAGCAAGTTAAGAATGCAGCTAGTCTAAAGTTTTAGTTCACGTTGGGTTGGTTAATTAATTCGTTTAGAGCTTTTCGTGTCGTTTCGTTTATTGTTTGGGAGTAAAATGTTTCAAAAATTTATTTTTTAAATGCGATTTATGTTGTATTAGTTTACGAAAATAAGTTGTACAAAAAACACACCCGTCTTAAATTTTGTTTTTAAAAATTTTCATGCAACGTTTGTTGATTTTTTCTCAGCTTTTTTTCGTTTCTTTCACTTCACTTGCTGCGCTTCTTTCGTGCTGCTAACAAATTTTCGACTGTGCGAAAATCAACGGGCAACTGCGGCCATACGGCCAGAGCGCGAGAGAGAGAGAGAGAGAGCGCAAGCGATTGAGAGAGCGTGCGCCGATGCCGCAGCTGTCATCCCTCTCGTTCGCACTCGCTCTCTCTCCCTCTCTCTTTTCACGTAGCGGCTGCTGCAACTATGAAGCTTTCCTTCAGCAACCTATTTAAGTGTGTGAGTGTGTGCATGTATATACTCTGTAAGAATTATACTCTTTGCTTAGATACCGGGCGTTTGTTACTCATACAACGCCATTACGCTATGTCTCAAATATTCGACGTATCAATCATGCCTAGAGCGTTAAATGCAGCCAAAAGGCGAACGAAGGCTGTGCGAATCAATATAAATAAATTAACTTGCAATTAGTTTATGAAAGGGTGACTATTTAAATACCCTGTACCAAAATGTGTGTATACTCTACAGACTCTGTTAATAGAAGAGTCGGAGATTTCTCTACCCTCTAAACTATATGTTATAGTTAACTTTTCTTTTCAAAGATTAATGAAATATTCTTAAGAATATATATAGATATATACAATTACTTTAGTCATACATTCAATATACCCCCATTTGGCCAATCAATTTTCACTGGGTATCCACAACATTGTGCTCAAGAGCTTTGCGCTAGAAGTTTGAGCAGCACTGCTCGCTATTAGTGCCTCACAAACTGTGTGCGCTGTTTGCACGTACCTAAAATCGTATGGAAAACTAAATTGAACTAAAAGTAGCACCTGGGAATCACATGTACATATATCATATTTCTATTACGTGAATTGCTGACGACTTTCTATTCTAACATCCGCTCGTTCGCTCGCTCGCTTGTCCGCTTGGCCAACAGGTAGATAAGTCTTTCAGCGTAGTCACTCAGCCAACAAACGTTATCTGCACATAAGGCTGCTTTTTTCTTATCAGAGGCGTATAAGGCGTTTACGGTTTAACAAGCACTGCGGCCGAGTTGCATAATGCAGCTGTCGCTTATATAACAACCGTTACTCTGCAAAACAAGGTCAAAAGTTCAAGGACTTTTGCTTGCATAGTCTCTCTGTCGCTCTCATAAGTAGGGTGTACACTGTACATGTATGAGGATGTGTGTGCCTTTATGGACTTCCGTATGTATGTATGTATGTGAGCGACTCTGTGAGTGTGTGCGTCTGACTTTTGTTGATGTTTTGATTGTGTAACAGCTGCTGCGAGCGCCCTGAAGTAGGCAACAATATAGAAGAATGCATTGAAAATTGCTTGCGGAGTGAGAGAGATGGGGCGAGGGTGGGTGTGTGGGTCGGTGGGCGTGTCATATTTATTATCTTAACCCTGCGATAATATTTGCAGCCACAAAGTCGCCCATAGGGGCATATTAAGGCTATTATCCAGTTTTGTTTATTGTTTTTAATACTTTCGTATTGCTGGGAGTGTGTGTGTGTGTGTGTCAGTATTTCTACATTGTGTTTATCTCTTTATTATATATTTAGGGCGTTGCCTTAGGGCTTACTTACCTGAATCAAATGTAGTTAAGGGAGTTTGGGTAAATAAGCATAGGAAATTAGATAACGATAAGGGGTTTGCCCTGCACATTAGTAATATATATATGTATATTTGTATATTAGTACATTAGCAATATACAAATAAATATAGTACGGCTGTAAGATTGATATTCTTGAGAGATTTGCCGTACAGAGAAAGAATAATAGCTAAATACTAAATAAATGGTCATTAAATAATATGGGACATATGTATACAAAAAAATATTAGTTGGCTTATTTGTCTCCTTTCCTATGTATGTATATGCCCAAACTTTTTTGTGTTAAATTTTGAAACGCGGTTTATTGAATTTTATTTAGAATTTTCTTTGATACATTTTCAATGCTACTGTCAAGTATTCATTTTTTTTGTTTTATTTAGTTTTATTGCATTTTATTTTTATAAATTTTTTAATTGTTGTATATATATATATTTGTTTTTTGTTTTTGCTGCTGTAACTTTGCTTAAATTTATGATATTGCATATGCCACAAAAATTGCTGTTGTTTTTGTTGCTGTCTCTAAATATTTTATTTAATTGGCTTTTCATAGAAGCTTATAAATGTTTTTTTCGTTTAAGTTTTTTTTTTTTTTTAACTTTTACAACTTAAAAAGCTTGCAAATAAAAGTATACATTTTAAAAAAAGTTTTCTTTTTCGTTTAGTTTTTGACATAAAATTAAGCATAGATAATTAGTTTTCTCTTTTTCATTATGTGCACATTTTTCTCACTTGTTGTTGTTGTTGTTGCTTAAACACTTCATTATCTGTTCTTACTGCTCTTCTTGCTATTTATTTTCTGTTTTTACTTTCGCTAGGCTAACATATTTTGCATATTTTCAATATAAACTCCAAACGAGCAACTGTTTTTACCATTTGTCTCCTTCTTCTACTTGCGTTCTTAAACATTTGTTTGTTGTTTGTTTATTTTGTTGTTAACCTTTGGTTGGTCGCATATGTTTCGCATTGGCTTTTGTGTACTCTATAAACTCTCTTCTTCTTCTGGTTCATACTTTTCTCCTTACTCTGTTGTTGTTTGTGTGTTTTGTGTTGTTGGATTTGTTTTTGTTGTTTTTTATCACAGCTTTCTTCTATACACTTTTTTGCGCTTATGTTATTTGTTATTTATCTCTTATTTAAGCATAACTTGCATATATATAAATTTGTTGTTGTTCTTAATGCACTGGCTGTTGCTTGTTGTTGTTGTTGTTGTTTGTCTTAGTGCTCCCTTTACATTTGCTCTAATACATACGTTAGCTTAGTGTTGTGTGTATGTGTGTGTGTGTGCGTGTGAGTGGAATGATTTACAAAAAGTTGTTGCTTTAAATACAATAAATGGCATATAAAATATACATATACTTATTTTGTTTTTCTCTTCATTTCGAGTGTTCGTTTTTTGTATAGAAAAAGAAACATTACTCATACGCAGCGTTTTTGGAAGTGTTTTTGCTTTTTGAATGAATTGTAATACTTTTGCATTGGATTGTTAAAACAATAAGGTCGGAGCTACAATTATTCACTTTTGTTAAAGATCATACATAGGTAGATATATAGATATATATATAGAGTTATATATGTGTATATATATTCATGTGTTTCATCTTTGGTGCACTTCTGGCTGTTGTTTGTTGTTCTTGTTGTTGGAAGCAGCATGACACGTTTATCACATTTAGTTGTTGTTGTTTGTTGTTGGTATGTACTAGGCTTAACTAAATTACATTGTGTTGTACATACACAAATACATATACATATACATATACATACACATACACACACACACATATATAGACGATTGCTTAATTTTCTGTTCACTTTACAAATTAATATTCGCTATTGATAACAAAAATACATGCATAGTTCTTTTTAGCTTTAGTTATATATACACCTGGTTGAATAGTGTAAAAGTGTGTTTGTTTGTTTTTGTTTTTTTTTTCATTCTTTGAGATCGCATTTTGTTGTTGCTGCTGCTGCTGCATGTTTGCCAGTTGATCAAATTGATAGTTCATTAATCAAACAATTGCCACAGAGCCAAGTCAAGTCGAGCTGAGCCTTTGTTCAGTCTTTCGTTTATTTACTTTTTTGTTTTTGTTTTGTTTTATATTAAATTTGAGCAAAGTTCTTTGTGAGTTGTTCGCTTAAATGCTCAAGTGATCTTCAGGTACCATTTACACATATATATATACATTTACATATAAATATATACATGATTTGCCTAGCTGCTCAGCTGCTGTGCACCTGTTGGGCAATTGTCTTGGCAAACATTTCAGCTAACATTTCTTTTTGTTGTTGTTTTTTTTTCTTCTTTTTGTTTTGTTTTGTGCAAACATAAGTAAACTATATATAGTAGTTGTGATTGTATAAATGAATGCCTGTTGCTACGAAAATACAAAATACTCAAGTGTTGCGATTGATTGCATTTTGGATTTTACACGATTTCAATTCAATTCTGGCTAACGCATGTCTCTCGTTTAACAAGTTTTCTTTACAACAGCACACGCCACACCAACTGGACTTTAGCTTTACAGATATATATTTATATATATATATATGTTGCAGGCGTGCGCTGTTTACAATATGCTTTACATAAGCTGCTAATATCACTTTTTGATAACTACACAAATGGCTCATCTTCTTGTTGATGTTACAATTGTTGTTGCTGTTGTTGTTGTTGTTGTTGTCTTATCACAATGGAGCGCCAAACTTTTTACATTTGATATTCTTTTCATACATTACAAAAGTTAACAATTTTTGTATTTTTTTTTGTTGTTTCGCCAATTGATTGAGCTAACAATTTGACATTGGTCAGTTATTTTTCTTTTCATTTTTGGTTTACAAACATTTTCAACACGATTTTTTGTTTTTGTTTTTTAAATCTTTTTTTTTATATATATTTTACTTAGCTAACTAGACAATTTGCTTAACAATTGGTTGTTGTTGCGGCTGTTTGCTGTAACTGGCTTCACTTTTGCTTGCTTGCTTGCATTTTGTTTTTATATTTTGTTGTTTAAATCACAGTTGTTGTTGCTTATAAAATGATGTTTTCTACATATCATCCATACATTCCCTCACATTTTGTCGTCTGTCCTAACTATCTTACTTGTGTCGCTGTTTGTTGCTCTTCTAACTTTCTAGTATTATTATATTAACAACAAACTGCCCGTTAGTATGTGTGTTTACAATTCGTTTTACATTTTGCATTTTTGAAGTGCTCAAGTCTTTTATATGCCCGTTAACATATTCTTTCATATTTGTTTCTTTTTTTTTTTTTTGTGTGTGTTGGCCGAACAAAATAATTTGAAATTTTTAAAATTTACTTAGTTTAGCATACGAAAGACAAAAGTTAAAATCAAATTTGTTAGTTGTACAAAGGCTTGCCAATTATTAAAGTGTTTACGTTATACATATCAAAAATGGTTTGCTTTTTTCTTTTTCTTTTTTTTTACCTTAACAGAAAAGCCAAAAGCTTTTCCCTGTTTTAAATTTTTTTTTTTGATTTTCTTTTTTTTTAGTTGCCTACGTAAAAGTTTTTCTAAACGCTACAAATTTCTATGCGCTCGATTTGATCACGTGTCATGTTGTTCTGCTTTTTGTTGTTGTTGGTGCTGATGCTGTTGCTGTTGCATGACGTTGCTTTATTCGATTTTTGGTTGCATTTGATTTTGTGTTGTGCTTCAACGGCTCAGATCCTGACGCATCAATTCATAAACATATTTATCCCTTATATCGTAGTCCACTGGTCCGAATCCCTCGCTAGGCAGCTGCTCGGGCTCGACTCGCGTCCATTGTTGACCCAACAACGTGCGCATTTCCTGAAAAACAATTCTTAAATGAACTCTGAAAACTTAGTCAACTATAGCCAGCTACTCACCTCGTTGAAAAGAGGTTGAGCCGCGCTGTTGGATTGCCAATCGATTTGTGATACTTCGAGACGTCGCAACTGTCGACTGCGCAATCGTGCGATGCCCAGCAAATTGTGCGGATCCATGGTGTAACCGTGGACGACGATCTCCTCGAGCTGTTTGCAGCGCCAGGATAACATGACAAAGGGATCCTGACGTCTGGTCTGACGCATATTGGAATGCTTGCTCAACGAATCAATGTAGTAGATGCTGCGCAAAGTATCGCTATTGTGCACCGACATCCAAAAGAGTGCCTCATGATTCATAAACTCACAGAAGAGCATGCGAATGTGAGTGACGGGCATGTGTCGGCGCAGAATGCGCATTTGCAGCTGCTCCACGGCCTCATAGGCATAGACAAGCGTCAGCACCAGCTCAATGTTCGTAAAATGTGTTGAGAAATTTGACCAAGCTGCCTCTGAGACATCGCCATGCTCCTCCTGATCGAGCCCATGCACAACAATGAGTAGCTTACGCAACGGCAACACCTGTATGGTATGCAAGAGCTCATCGTTGAGCGTATCATAGTCCAGGGAGAGCACCTGCAAGACGGCACATTTTTGAAGCAATGTGGCATCCAGCCCGAGTATGGGATAGTGACTAGGATCATATTTGATGCTGGCCAGCGTTAGCTGCAGTAACTCCTGCGGCTTGCCCATGGTCTTTAGAAAGTCCTGGCCATAATAGGTAAGCGCTTCGATGGCACCCAGATCCAAGATCTGACACGCTTGATTTTTGCGGCTCAAAATCAACTTTAAGGGCTCCACGAAGCATCTGAAAGGGTGGAAGATAATGAATGGRCTAGAGCTGATGATCGATGAGATTTCTTACTGTTCGATGGCAACCAGATGTTCACTATGCATGTTGCCAGCAGCAACGAGGCCCACATTATTTGTCTGGAAACGTATCGCTCGAATGTTATCACAGCGCGCTGCCCTATAACCAAGTGAAAGAGAATATTAGAGAGATATTTGAGATAGAGTTAAGTTGGTCACTTACTTGTAGAGCAGCCGACGCATTTTCTGTATGTGAAAGGCATTGTGGAAATCGAAGACAATGACCAGCTCCTTGGCCAGATTGGCCATGCTGCGATGGAAGAACGCCAATTGCTCATCCTTAGCCACGTCAATGTGAAAGCGAAAGTTTCTAAAGTACCTGCAGACGTGGCGAAAGTTCAAAATAAATTAAGTAAAATAAAACTGTTAACAAAATTTCAGTTTCAGCTTGTTGAACCGAGTGTGAAAAGTATGCCAACAGCTAGAATTAGAAGTATTAAACAAGTAAACTATAAACAAAAAACGGTTTCGGCTATACAGTGGGTAAGAAAATGTATGCGCACAGTTGAAATTATTGTAATTCTTGTTATTGAATAATCAAAACATGAATTTATTGTTAATTTAATAAACTCTACAACATTTTAATCACAGTTTCATCATGTCAAATATACCAAATTATGTAAAAAAAAGGTTTTTTTGTTTTTAAATAAATTTGTAAGCATTTTATACCATAACTTTTCGAACTAGCTTTGTATAATCTGCCTTTGACATTGAAATAGTTCTTGAAATATATATGTATATAATTTTTCATTTACTTAACACGCTGGGCGATAACTTTTGTCGCTCGCTCTGACAGAAACATCAGCTGTGTGTTTGGGTGCATATGTACTATATGCTTGTGTGTATGTATGTTTGCATTGGTATAGCAACATTTTCATTGTGTAGCTGTGTGCGTGTGAGTGGGGCAGCGCTTTGTTTTGTTATTACACGTATTAATAAATGCTTTGTTGTCTTTCAAGGCTTGCCAGAAGCAAGAAAAAACAAAATAGAAAAACACACAGCGCCCCGCCCACTCGCCTCTTGTTTGGCATCTGGGCAAAACAGCTGTGCGTCACCTAGCGAAGCACCAATTTGTTTGTTTGAGACGCAAAAGCGAAAATGCCCACAAACACAGAGCCACTCTCACACACATGCATACCTTTATGCTTATATGCATATGCGTATAAGCAAATACACATATGTATATATGTATATATGAATACTGTTAGGACTTACCGTCTTTGAAAAAAATGTTGCCTCCATGCCCAACAACAATTGGCCGCAGATATGCGGTCTCGAGTATCGAGATAGTCGAATATTTGATTTAGTGCCACCGCCGGTATTGTATGCCATTGGGGTATATTCATAACTATAACTATATAAGTCCAAATAAATCCGTTTTCTTTACTATTGAATGAAACTTGTTAATTTTACTTTTTTGTGCGACCGAACAGTGCGACGCAACATCGACCAATTAAGATACAGAGTTCTGTTAATTATCTCTACACATAACAGGGCGCATTCACTGTTGACTAACATATTTTTAGTATTTTTCCGTTTGTTTATGAGGTATTTTCAACTCTATTAGCGTACGGTCACATTGTACGGAATGTGGTAATAAGTTGATATTTTGTTTTGAATAATGTCATTACTGTTGGGCGCCTACCGGCGATTTAAATATGGGTACATGCACACGAGATATGCCTCCACAGAAGTGGCAGCAGCAGCTACAGCTGCCGCACAGCTCTCCAATGCCAGCGGCATGGTCGGCTTCTGGCAAACACTATCGAACAGCACGCCGGTGGCCTATATGCAAGATGCATTGATCCAAATACATGATTATAGTGGCTTACCCTGGTGGTCCGCTATAGTGTTGTCCACATTTCTGTTTCGCAGCGTTGTGACGTTGCCTTTGACCATTTATCAGCATAGGATCACAGCACGCATAGAAGGCATTGCCCTGGAAATGCCAGCAATAGTGGAAGAGCTCAAAAGAGAGGCGGCGATGGCCAAACAGAAATTCAAATGGAGCGACAAGCAAACGGCAGTTGTTTACAGGAGATCG